ATTTATTTAAAATAAGTGTAACTATAGTTCCCTATAGGAAAGATAGTTCAAGTTTTTATATACAGGGTGTCCGTGAAAAGGAAGTCAATCCGTTAACCATATATTCTTTGAGTTAAAACAATAAGACTTTCATAATACCATTTTTCAATTTAGAGCTTCATGTTCGATATACAGGGCGACAAAGTTTAAAATTTAAAACTGATTTTTTTTAATAATTCGAGTAATTGATAAGATATTAAGTTCAAATTCGGTACACTACTTCAACATGAATAGTTACATTTTTTGAGACCAACAAAACAAAAAACAATTGTTAAATAATCAAAATAGAGGGGTCCAGTACTCACTGACTCCCCCTATTTTTAGTACGTGCGCCAATGACCTGACCTCCAAACGGTATTTTTTCAGGTAATCATTTATTGTTAAAAAAAATTTGTCTTTTATAAAATTTTGATAAAATGATTTGTTTTAGAGATAATTTGTAAAGTATGGGTCAGTCCATATCAAATCAACCAAAGGTTCTTCCCCCACCATCTCCGATTTTGATAATTTTTGGTAAATTTGTTTACCTCACTAAAAAACTCAAAAATCCCATATATGAATATTTTTCGATGGGTGGTTTTTGTTTTATTGATTTTTGAAAATCAAAAAATTCCGATAAATTTGGGTTTTGCAAGTACTTACAAAAATAGTGATATCTCGTAAACTATAAGTAGAAAAGTAGAAAGGTGAGTGATGGCTTATTTTAAAGGCCTATTAGAGACCTTTTTTATGTTATATCACATGACCTAAATTTTTTCAAAAAAAAAATAAATTTCAAAAGTTTGATATGGATTGACCCATACTTTACAAATTATCTCTAAAACAAATCATTTTATCAAAATTTTATAAGAGACAAAAAATTTTCAACAATAAATGATTACTTGAAAAAATACCGTTTGGAAGTCATTGGCGCACGTACTAAAAAATAGGGGGAGTCAGTGAGTACTGGACCCCCCTATTTTGATTATTTGACAATTGTTTTTTGTTTTGTTGGTCTCAAAAAATGTAACTATTTATGTTGAAGTAGTGTACCGAATTTAAACTTAATATCTTATCAATTACTTGAATTATTAAAAAAAATAAGTTTTAAATTTCAAACTTTGTCGCCCTGTATATCGAACATGAAGCTCTAAATTGAAAAATGGTATTATGAAAGTCTTATTGTTTTAACTTAAAGAATATATGGTTAACGGATTGACCTCCTTTTCCCGGACACCCTGTATAATAAAAGTTTATAATACACATGTGTTTGCCCGGTTTTGCCTAAATTGTGTAGGTTAAATTTAAATAACAAATTTTACTAATATATTATATATGTATATATATATATATATAAATAAGTATTATATATATATATATATATATATATATATATATATATATATATATAATACTTATTTATTGTTAATACCAAAAAAATATCATTTTGGATCTAAATCTCTAAATCCGATCCGATACTGATTTATGATTTAGGATTTAGTTACATTTTGGTACAAGATTTACGATTTAGAATCTAAATCATTTATTTATTTCAGATTTAAATCCAAAAAGTTTAGTTTGACTTACGTAATGTACGTTTTTAAAAATATATCATAATTTGATTGATGAATTTTAAATCTTCTAACGAGAAAGCAATTTGCGCAGGTCTGTGTTCTGTGGCGCAGTTCAAAATGATGCTAGCAACCAACTGAAATACGCTTGTTAAGTTAACAAGAAATATATCGTATTGCTTGCTTACTTGACATTACGTACCTTTAAAATGGCGTTAGTGAATATGAAGTAAGCAAGCAGGTATCATTTTTAAACATTATGGTTGTGAGCAATATTGTTATCAGCAAGACGCTCATGAGCGAATCGCACTAATTATTATATCTCCATGGCACCACGCATGTACGTACGTACTGGCCACCTTCTTTGAATTTTTTGCCGCCGTTAATATAAATTTCCTGAAATAGTAGTTATGTATAACACATTAAAAATACTTGTAATCGCAAATGTTTTAAATATTAGATTTGACAAAAATATGTTATTGATTAATGAATTAATTGAAGACACTAGTGAATAAAGGGTTTAAGTGAATTTTGACACTTTGTTTTTTGGTTTGGGTTTCCAATTATTGACAAATGTTAATATTGTGGTTTATTAACTGGTTAAACAATCTTATTTGCACAGACACTTAAACAGTTAAGAGCCAATGGTTGGTTTTGTGGATTGTGGGCAACTTAGAGTACTCTAAGGTGGGCAATATGTATGTGGTTTTTGAGGTGACTCATTAGGAATTTGGTATCCATTTTTCTAAAAACAAAATGGCTGATCTAATATGGCGGTCATTTGTCGTTCAGCTTTAACGATTTGGATGAAATTTTGTAAAAAGATATTTTTGGGGTAGCTGATTATGAATTTTATATCAATTTGCAATTGCGGATTCAAAATGGCAGATATCTATGCGCAGTAGGTACCAGATGGTTGGATCTATGCGCAGTGGTTACTGGATGATCGTACCTATGCACAGTAGTTACTAGATGACCGTACCTATGCGCAGTAGTTTTCAAATGATTGCATCTACGCGCAGTAGTAACGTGAACGTAACGTTCGGAAAAGTTGGAAAAGATGGAAAAGTAGAGTTTTTTGTAATGTAAACGTATAAAACATAAATAATGCTTGTCAATGTATTAAAATAATTTATTTCTTATTTATTTATGCATACGTAACAAAATAACAAAAAAATATATCAAACAAAATAAAATGAACAGACAACATAATACCAACAAAAATAAACTAGGTTTGAATTAAAAAAATCATATTTTTTAAGTAAAAAGGAATAGAAATTTATACACACCATAAAAAAACACATACAAAATAAAAAATAATTACAAAAAAATATGAAGCAAAAATTATTAAATTTATTGTTGTTAACCTTTTACTGGTGGCGCACGGCCTAACAGGCCCAAGCGATCTTATTTAGCGGATCATTATGAAAATAATTAAGAGACAACTCTGTATTTTTCAGTACCTTCCTAACTTTTTGCGTAGAAAAGTGTAGTGCAATGTTTATTTACTTATAGTTCAAACTTAAAAAGTTATAACCTAAAACGGCCTGAAAGGCCGGGCGCTACCATTTATGCTATACGACTATTTTGTGGTATATTAATTATTTAGCATATTTTTTACTTTATTTTATCAAATATGGTAATATTTTATGGGCTAATGAATGTGGCTGGAATAAATGCCCAAGTAATACACACTGCAATAATTCAAATTATTAATGCGAAGGCTCTTGAAGAACGTCGCTATGTCCTAGTAGAAGCATTTGAAACGCCGTACTATGGAACAAAATTTACCAACTGAGGTACGTCAAAGGCGACAAGAAGTAGCTGGGACTTCTGCCGATAATGTTAAACCTCAACTAATTTTCCCTGGGACCAGAAAAAGGTTTGCAGAATGTCGCATAGACAGATGGAGCAAACACTTCATAGCCAAAAATTTCTATGTATGACCCATGCCAAATCTATGTGTCATAATTGAATGAAAAAAAGTCAAAACCACGTTTAATACGATATTTTGTTATTTAAGCTTATAAACCACTTGTTGTTTTTTTGGTAGAATATATTTTATATTTAGTTTTTTGTAAAATAATATTATGTCACCTTATAATCCTGTCCCCATAAAATTAACCCCATATTTCAAACATATGAGGTTTTTTTGTTAAAAAAATCAGTGACGTTGGTCACAATAGGATTAAGTAATAAATTAAAAGTAAAAAATTCACAAAGAAAAAATACTAGCATAAATATGATTTTTTTAAATTTACGGGCCTCACAGGCCGGGCGCCACTAGCAATGTTAAATATAAGGCGCCACTACTACAAGGTTAAAAATTATGGAAATTTACAAGTAAAAATTTAAAAAGAAAACTTTCTTCTTTTCCACTTTTATATTTTCACTTGCAAATTTCCATAATTAAAAAAAAAATAATATTTTGTTCATACTGTGTATAAATTTAAAATACGTTATAATAAAAGAATCTTTATATAATAGAAAATGCTATTAGCAGACACCATTTTTGATAAAGTTTGACAAAATTTTATTTCAAAAAACAATGCTTTTAGTATGTTTTACTAAAAACACTTCAAATCTAGAGATTTATATCGAATTTTGACCAAATTATCTACCAATAAAAATGTATGGTAGTGGAAACACTGGTTAGAAGTCAACTCATTGTTCATTGGCTCCCACCTAATAACTTTTCCAACTTTTCCAACTTTTCATAGGGGGTGCCGAACTTTTCCAACTTTTCCAACTTTTCGACCGAACTTTTCCTTGTTTGCAACACTATACTTTACCCAAGTAATCTTGGCAAACACAATTTTTTTTATTTCATGTTCAAATTTCTACAGAAAAAAGTTTCGTACCTATTTTATCCCAAATATTTTTTGTGTTTTAATTTTATAGCTACTTTTATCACGAGAGAAACGAGACGGGGCACTCTCGAGAGAAGAGTATTCTCGTCGAGACGAGGACCAATTTTCACTCCCTGTACGAGACGAGACAAAAGAAGGACTTCTCTTCTTTTCTCGTTTCTCTATCGCAATCAAGCTAGCAATCATATCTACAATTCAACCCAATTTAACGAAAATCGTCTCTCAATCCTCACAATTCCATTGCAGTCCTGCAATTACTAATTTCAGGTCGTAATCCCCCGAAATTGCAAAAATTTAAAAAGAATTCTCCGAAATCACCGAAATCATGGGATTTCGGTCGCAATCCTCCGATATCACCGCAATCATTCCGAAATCATGGGATTTCCACAATACGTGTACATATTTTTTGAAGGTGGTTTCCCCCTCGGTGGGGAATTAGGTTTTATGTAATTGTTTCATTTTATTGTGTTACTATATAATATTTTCCAAGAGATATAAAATAAAATAATTGTTTATAGTTTTTATATAGAAATTTGCTTACGTTCATCATCATTGAGGCTCTCCAACTTAACTGCTTCCAATGGAATGATATGTTGCTTATTATATTTTTTCTTATTAATAATTATGTTGCCATACACTAGGATATCATTGAAAAGAAAAAATTGCCTTGTCTTTGGCTTTTTTCGGCACATTTTGGTCAAAACTCCTTCCCCAACCAGGACTCTTCCAGGTACTTGCAAAGGCTGAAAATACAGTATTTATAGTATTGTGAAATTTGAACCAAATTACCTTTTACCTGTCCAGAACTTCCAAAACAGCTCTCTACCATCATAATTCGCCTATTATTGGCTTCACTGTTCACTAAAACACACATTTTTATAAGCAATTTTAAATTGAAATTTTCAATTGACACCTGTTAATGCTTATTCTATTTTACACTGATAGTGATTAGAATGATTCATAATATATATTTCTTTGTGGAATGATTTCAAAGTTCTTAATTTAACGCACAAAGAACAGAAAGTTTATTAACTAGACCATGAAAAAGAAATTTAAATCATATTTAAACTCTTTAGGCGTAGGTTGAAGCAAAACAATGTTTTTATAAGAGTAATATTTACTCAAGAAATATTTTATATGTTAATTTACCAAGAAAATTCAAATAAATCCTACCTAATTTGTCCACCATATTAAGTAAATTTATTAATTCTAACAAGAAAAGGAAAATTAAATAAAATGAACGTCACAAAAACGTCAAATGTCAAACACAAACTAAAAACATAAAAAAATATATATATATAGACAGTCTATATTTAGTTACTTTCGTTTTCTAATGTTGCAACCTTTGCAGTTTTGCTATTTTGAGGTTGGTAGCTTTTCGTCACTTGTTCTGTCACATGATAAATACTGCCTTCGGTAAAAATCAATTTATTCGTAAATTCCAGTAATTTAAACTCAGTTTAATATTAATACAAAAAAATGGCAATCTGTGGCCCCAAATTATCCTTATGCGGTTTAATAATCAGCGTTTGGGGCGTTATACAACTGGTAAGTTGCTTTTTTTTAAGTGGGTTTGTCTTATTGTAATATTTTAGGTTTTCATGGGAATATTCTACTATTTTCATTCGGTGGCCCTTGCTGAAGATCTCCCCGAGTTTGAGCAACCTGATACCAAAAACGTTGATGAATATTTAAAAGCATTTTATGCTGACATTGATAAGGGCTACACCCAGGTAAATATATAGTAAAAATGCTTTAAGCTTAATTAAATTTATTTATTCTATTTCAGAATGCCTACAATTGTTGGATTGCCGCCCTGTTGTATCTTGTCACCATGTTCGTGTCTGCACATCAATTCTGGGCCAACAACCGTTCATCCCTAAGTGTTTAAAGTAGATCAAATCTTTTGTTTTGACCATTATTTAGTATTTTGTCGTTTTGACATTCCTGTACATTGTATATTTTTAAGTTAAAATCAATTGTAGGTATAAGCATTAAAAGATGTATGATAATTATTGTACATATAAATTAAAACCTCACAAAATATTTATTTTTTATTGTTAAATTTTGTTAGTATGCCAAGGTTGTTTAATAAAAACAGCTTTTGGGTTGTTTATAAATAATTTTTAATGTGGAAAATAAAAACTTTACAATAGAATTACAATGAGATTTTTACCTTATATGAGTAAAATAATCCTTATGAATAAAATTCAATTTTAATGAAAAGCCTGAAACTGATTTTCAGTACAGCAAAATTACTTAATTTAAGACCTTGGTCTTATTTTGAGTTAACAACATAATAAAAAAGTATTGTTAGTCACTTCACCAAAAAATTATATGATTTGGTTTTGACCATATAACAATGGATCAAACACAACTTGTGCACAACCATGGTTTCAAGATGTGTTTTGACCTAAGGTTTTGACAGTTGTTTGGTGTTTTAAATAGTTTTTTTACAAAAATAACCTAAAATGGTAAAAGGTGCATAGTGAAGAAAACAGCGTAAATGCGACAGAAAGACTATGACTAAGAGGACTTAAAGATAAATGTACTATGCTCCACACATCAAAGGCCTACCAGAGTGACTGATAGAAATAATTAAGTTTAATTTTTGTCAGTGTCAAGCTAATGTCTTATTTTCTAAAAATAATAAATAAAAAAAAAATCTTTTCGCCAGAGATCTCACCACACTTCAGTTTATGAGAACGACACACTCAATTGAAACGCGCAATCTGACGGCGCATACGTGAATAAGAGGCAACATAACCTATCTCTGATCTCATTATATACAAAAGTTCTCTTTTAGTTCCACCCTTACTTCTTAAGAAGTCCCATAAGCCAACTGAATGGCTTGTGCGGGTTAGGGGTAGGAACGGACTGCGGGCTTAAAGTCCCCTCCGAAGGACTATTACACAATAGGACAAACACAAATAAACAGCCATACCCCTGGTGGGATTCGATTAATGAAGACGATGAATACGTTTCCCAATCTATAATACTTATTCTTTCCATAATTGGGTGACAAACAAAAACAACAATTTTTTGATAAGAATATTAATTTTATGACAAAATAAAAATTAAAAAAAAATCACTTTGACATGTTTTGTTTAATTTTATTGTAAAAAGTGTTTTTCTAGTTCTGTAAAACAATTTTATTCGAATTTTATTTATTAGGTATATTAAGTTTAGTCAATTTACAAAATTTAATTATTTTTATGGAAATTTAAGTTTTATTGAAAAAAACCATTTTTTTTGTAAAACATAATAATTTTATGAAATAAAATAAGAATTTTAAAAAATCTTCACTTTTACTTTCTTTGTTCAATTATATTGTAAAAAGTGTTTTTCTCGTTCTGAAAAGCAATTTTATTCGAATTCTATTTATTATATCAAGTTTATAGTTAATTTACAAAATTTAATTACTTTTATGGAAATTTAAGTCGTTTTTTCGTGTAAATACTATGCAATACTACGGTTATAACCGTTTATAAATAAGTCATGACGTCACAGTTGATTCATATAACCATGGTTAGGTTTCTAACATTTGACATTTGTTTACTTGTCCATAACCTATAATTTTTGAAATGTGTTTTTACCTATTTATATTTAATTTCTATGCTTTTACCGGTGTAAATAAATTTCTTTGCCTCTTCTTATACCTTAAGAACTATGATCCCTAGTTCTTATACCTACCTTTTCTATACCTCTTTTTATATAGAAACAGTTCTTCCCTGTTGTTTACCATAACTAAAATCCATGAAGTGTTTAACGTTTATACGAAAATTATTATTGTGAAACTCAAAATTTAGAATGGAACCCCAAAGAAAAAGACGAAGGTTGGCGGTATGTTTTGGAGAAGATATGTTTAGCACACAACATTATTCCTACATAAACATATTAAATATATATATTAAAAAGAGAAAGACTATTAACCACGTTGAATAACTAGCTCAGCGATATAGTTTTATGGTCTGGTATTTGTGACGTCATAGTTAGGATTTTTGAACGCACTCTAAACGCAAAAATGCCTTAACTATTAACCAAGGTTAAGTTTAATAACCATTAAGTATTAGTATTTCATGGTATTTACCCGAAAAAACGACTTTATTTTTTATTGCAAAAAATCACCTAAATAAGATTAGGTTATGTTATTTAAAAACTTAACAAAAAAAATAATAATAATTTCTTTATCCCCTCCACTTTATTTCCGTAGAGTGGGGTTATTTGGAACATGTTAATTTTGTGACATTTTCTTTAATTCAATAAACATTTTTTGACCAAGAATTTTATTTTGTTTTCGTACTAGAAGCAGGGTTTTATTTTACAAAGTGACTAGAAGTGCACCGGGAGTACCGCTATTAAAAGTACACCGGGTGGAAAAAAATCCTTATTTAGCATATTTGTCAATTGTACAATATTAAATGGTCGCTCAATTTCGCGCTCAATGGGGCGGGGGGCCCAATGGGGCGGGGTCGGTTGGGTTGGGTTGTTGAGTTTGGGTTGGTTTGGATAATTCATACTGACATTTCATTTATTTTGTTGTTAATTGTATTTCAATCACTTAATTAAATTTTAATCAATGTTTATACAACTTGAAAGTTAGCTTAATAATTACATAATTAATATCAAGAGTTAACCAGCTCTTTACCAACTGTTATACAACTGGGCCTTAGTGTACCAATTTAATGTCAACTAATAAATCCACAGAACATAATAAATCCGAAATTTTACCATCAGCTGTTATGGAAACACGCATGCGCACAAACCTGATGTACTTTTAATGCCCGTACTCCCGGTGTACTTCTAGTCACGGCGTTTATTTTATTTTTAATTTAAAAGCCTTCTAAGATGCAGTTATTTTTAATTTAAATGCGTTCCAAAATGCCCTATGCATTTATTTTTAATTTAAAAACGTTCCAAGTTGCCCTTTTGCAGTAAAACATAGAAACATGATAAAAATATACATCTGTTCCAAGTTATCAGAATGAAGCAAAACTTGGAACACTTTTTTTAATTCAATAGCTTTCGTGAATTTTAAATTTGCAGTATATATATATATATATATATATCAATTTAGAAGGTACTCGTACACACTTTGTCATTTAAATATCGAAAAAAATGCTTTTTGTTGTTTATTTATGTGAATTTTTTTATAAAAAGTGTTCCAAGTAACCCCAATCTACTTAATTCAAACTGATTCCCCGTACAGCATGTGCAGTATCGGTGAGTGAAGCAAAAAGAACGCGCACATTTGCAAATTTTACCGATGTGAGCTGAGATTAACTGAGATCTCCGGCGAAAAGAACGCACCTAATATATGTATTTTTGTGTTCTAAATTAAGACCTTTATAAGTATACTTATATTGAATAATTTTTAGAAAATAGGACGAAATTAGATTGCCATTGACAGAAAATTATCCTTAATTATTTTTATCAAAGTCATGTGGTGGGACTTTGATGTGTGAAGCATAGTACATTTATCTTTAAGTCCTCTAAGTCATTGGCGTCCCTTGCAATTTCGGCGTCATGTTTATATTTTACTATTAATTAAAAGTTGGATTAGTCAATAAAACATACAATTTTGTAAGTAGAAATTTGAATTTTATCAATCTATAACAATTATAATTATTAAGTATTCAGTTAACATCTTTTCTTAGATTTTCATTGAAACTGCTCCGCCACTTTACGGTGCATCTTGGAGACAAACAAGCGCGATGATTTTGACAAACATTACGCGTTACCTATAAGGTCTTAGGTTGTGACAACAGTCTTATATATATATACCTATATAAGACCTTGGTTGTTACCAATAATATTAATAAAAATTATGTTAAAATAGTGTACAAGAATGTAATAAAAATTGTAAGAGGTTTTTCCAGAAAACGTTTTTTTAACTCTGATTTTCTTCATCTGACTCAAAACTTTATGTACTTAATTAAATATGTGTAAAACTAATATTAACAATATATAAAATAATTTGATAAATAACTGTACATTTAAAATTAAAAAGGATATTTTTATACAAAGAACACTACAAATAACCATTTTTTAAGATTTTTACTAAAAGTGTAAATTCGTCAAGTGGTCCCTTGAAAATCATTGTTTTTTGTTAAAATGAGTAGCTCTTACTCATCTCTAGAGGGTCCACTGAGTGGTTTTACAAAAAAATGTTTGTTATTGTTTTTGCAACTTAAAAATTAAAACCTAAAATTTCTGTAAATTTCGGGTTATAATTTATTAAGTTACAAAAAAAAATATTTTTGGTTTACGTGGAAGCCTTTGGACTTTTTAAACTTATTTACAAACAAATTCTTGTTTTTAAATGTTCAATCGAAAAAAACAACTTCTTTTAAATATTAATCATGGTGATACATAATTGAAATATGATCGCTGCGGCGACCGATGCGTTGCAAACCCAAATATTCCGATCCCAGAGATTTATTTTCATATTATGTAATAATTTTGTATCACCATGCCTATAAATAAGTCAATAGTTTTTTATGGAGATCCTATAAATTTCAAGTGATTTGATTCAGTAGTTTTCGCATAATGAATATTATAAAAATATTTGTCTAATTTAACATTTTAACAATAATTATTATGATTTTCGCGTGATTATGAAAAATCAAGGAAACACTTGGCGAATTTCCACTCCTATACAAAAAAAATGTGCAAATAAATTATTTGTGATGTTATAGGTACTTTTTCTTAAAACGTCCTTAATGTTCTGAATATTCAATAGTTACAGAAAATTAACAGCCTTTTTAAAAACTAAACTCTATTAATTTTGTTGCAAATAAATATTTTTCAAAAAATTAAGTGGTATGTTATGCCATAAAATGGAAATAATACACACAGGGTTGCCATTCTGCCATTCTAATTTGTTCCAATCCCAAACAACCAACTGTATAGCCTATATTGTCAGGTGGGTTCTTCTTGAATGATGACTTCTATATATCAGATCATGGCATTATGTCATATGCATGGGAGAATGCTGGGCTATGACTGGCTAATTGCTTTCTACAAACATTATTTTCTTCAAAAAGCAAACCAGAGAATGTCGCAGATTTAAAGTCCTTGTACAGCCATTCAACGCTACTCGGGAATTTTTGTAGCGTCCGTTACAATCAAAAATTGTGATTAAAAGCTACCGTAATTAAATTAAATACTGGTAAACTAGTTAATATTGCAAACATGTTTATTATGCTTGTTATAATTAGGCTTAAACTTATAAGCATAATAATTACGGTAGTTTAACTCACAATTTTTTATTGTAACTTAAATTTAATTTGATACATTTTTTTAGATTAATCTAGTTAAGTAAGATTTAGTTAATTTTAATTGTTTTTCACGACCATATTGAAAACTACGACTTTTCATAGTAGACAAGTTACGTCGTTTCGTTGAGTTTTCATTTAACAATAGTTACTTACTTTATTTTACTGCTGTTATTTTGTTTTTGTATTCATGCATTCAAATATTAAAATATTGTTCATGGATTAAGTTTTTATAAAAATTCCAAAAATGTTTAACGTAATTTTAGTTTAATGTGAAATTTTCAGGTTTTAATGTTTTTATTGTTTTAAGAATTATATCTTTGTGGTCGTCGAAAAAATAGCATTCTCAACTCACTGTAAATTGATTTCGGCGCCCAAAATCCCACACTTTCCCATCTCATTGACAAATATATTCCAAATAATTTTTATATTTTTATGTATGAAAATTTTAATGAATCTAGAAAAATAAAATCAATTTATGACAAAAAGAAATCAATTAAAAAATATATAACTTTTATCAACCCTTAAAAAATAATTCAATTGCTTCCAAAATCAATTAAGTGCCCTTTATGAATCATTTCAGAAGAGTGGCAACCCTGAACCTGTAAACTGTCGGCGAAGTATTTGGCCAATACTTTATTATTTTGAAAACTACTTTCTGCGAATTATCATTGCTAACAGTCGGATGTATCAGAATTGTAATTAAAGTAACTAAACAATGTGTCGCCTGATTGTTCCTTTTTAATAAAAAGGTTCCTGAGGCGGCCTGCACTGCTCGACTCCCCATTTTTAACTCCATGAACTTCGCTTTTCACGGTAGGCCTCGGTACGTAACCGTCATAATCACTATCGTCATTAAAAATTTTATTGTTACTAAAAGAAGTCGAAGCCACGTTGATATTCGATGGTATTCCTGGCGCGAGACCTTTCGGAATTTCCTCGTACTTCGAACAACTGGGCCAATCGGTGCTCGGCGCGGATGGCACGTGGTCCACCGGCGCCACCCGAGAACAACTCGGTTGTTCGTCGATCGGAGGAGGCGTGGTGCTGGTTGTGGTTGTCGTCGTGGTTTCTATCCTTTTAGCGAACAGGTTTTTTCTCTTTGAGTGCTTCTTGCGTTTTTTTGTTTTGGCTAAAGTGGAAAGAGGCACGTCTTCGGAATCGGTGGAATGCACCTGTATAATGTTAGGATTAGGCTAGAATGCATATAAAAAATATGATTTGGTAAAAGGTATTGCAATTTTGGTTACACAAAGTCTGAAATTATATTTTAACTTATACAATAAGAATAATACAGAGGTTCAAAAACTTGTTAAAATGGTGCCCCAAAAATAACTAAGTGATTTCAATCCGTCGCCATGTATGAAAAAAGCACGTTATTTCAGTTGTTCTGTGAGTCACAGTCTGTGACCAGGGTTGGGAAGTATACGGTATAGTTGGTTTTATAATCTACACGTATTTTACTGACGTTTAAAACGTATAATGGGGAATTATTATTATTAATGGGGGGAATTATATAAAATAGTTGGTTTTATACTCTACGTATTATACTTATACCGGCGTAAGAAGATAGCGGCTGAAGTAGACATAAATTTTCTGGGAGCCACCTTAGCAAGATTAAATAAGAAAGATTTGGTTACAATAATATTAAACAAGGAAGTGAAAAATGGAAAGTGTAACAAAAATGTCAGACAACATTAGAAAAGCTAAAGCAAATAGTTAGTTTACATTTTTTACCTAAAGGTCAGTACAAACAAAATCCAGATAAAGTAAATCATTTACTGGAAAAAATGGTATTCAACTGGAAAGCAGAATCATCTGCAAATAAAAATAAACAACATCAGAGTGTGGTTAAGAATACATACAAAACGAGTTTAACAAAAGGAGAGACAACTACCCATGAAAACGGTAAAGCAATAAGAAAAGAAGAAAGCAATGAAACAAGCAAAAGTTTAAATGAACAAAATAACATAAAAAATACAAACAGAAAACAAACAAATTTTAACATAAAAGAAATTGAAAAGCATCAGGCCGAATTGGCACAAAGCATTATTAACCCAACTAAAACTAATACAGAAACAAAACCCAAAAAGTTTATCAAGAAATTTGGTATCGAAAAGGTGGATGAAAACAATATACATGATACTATTACTATAAGTTTAATTTTATTTCAAAGTTTTTTTCATGGATAACTTGACAGAATGAATTTTTGTAGTTATTATTGTGCATTTTTCTACTTAACATTTTTCAATAAAATTTAGTATAGGGTCGTTTTGAGGGGTGGTGAATCCAGTGCCGTGCTTAGATTTTGTTTAAAAAAATCGCTAATATGAATTCTTAAAAATTTACTCTTAAAAACTGACATAGTCGGCCTTGTATTTTGTAAAAATATGGGGTTTGTTTAAAAATACAGTTAATCAAGATCTACACTTTAAAACAAATCCGGTTAAAATCGCACAATAAATAACGATTTTACAGGGGTGAGTCACAAACAAATGGGTCACACCATATATTTCAAGTCATTTCAGCGGCAAACAAACAATTTACAATTTACAATAAAATTTAAAAAGACTATGACAACCTATACGCTAAAGTATAGGGTTTTCGCAACGCGCGCGCCATCTGGTGGACTTCGAATGCATTGTGTGAATTTAAGAATTGTCAAAAATAAATTTAAAGCACCGATTATACATGATTTTTAAATAAAAAGGTAGTCTATTTTACAAAAGAGAGGAAGGCAGAAGTCTTACTCGACAAATTTTGTTCAATTGCACAGCTAAATCGTGCACGTTATTTGTGTTTTACGTTGCAAGGAAAAAATTAAAAAACTTTTTTAGTACTCGATTTCGATTGATTATTCCTTATATCATTGATTAAGAAACTCAACGCTTAAATGCTTATATAGTTACGTTAGTGTGTGTCAAGGGCGTCGCCAGAGGGGCAGGGGGGCAGCTGCCCCCCTAGAGGTTAACGCTCACAAGTCACCCTGCTAATTGAAACGATAAACTGAGTGTTGTGGAAATCCTTAAGGAAACTGAAGATTTTTTTTCTGAAATTAAGAAGGCTTTAAAGATCCTTGTTGCTTTACCTTGTACGACTGGTACAGTTGAAAGGTCATTCAGTAGCCTCAGGAGAATCAAAACCTGGTTGAGGAGCACCATGTTTGAAACTCGACTCAATGGCCTCGCAATGATGAGTGTACACAGGCAACACATTTTCAAAAACTTGGACGATTTCGTCAGCAAAGTGTGTAGTTATATTGTTCGTTTTTAATTTTTTTTTATGAAAACTTTTTTTTTAATTTTTCTCTTGTTCTTTTATGCTGCCCCCCCCCCCCCTAGCTTACCGACTGACGACGCCCTTGGTGTGTGTATTTTATCAAAGGGATCATGGTGAATTATTGTGTTTTTAATTGTAAATAAAATTCAAGAACTAAATCATTGCATTTTCATGTTTTGCCAAAGGGTCCAATTCGGTAAGTACATTTGTTGGTGCAGAATTAACTTATGATAACTTTACCTAATATAATTTATATTTAAGTTTGGACATTTTTAAGAAATTAGTAAAAAATAATTATTGCACAAACATAACCTCAAAATCAATCATTTTTATACCCTAAGGGTATGTTCCGTAAGTCATCTTGGTTGGTTTGGTTTCGGTTAAGGTGTCCCGTAAATGAAAAATTCCTGAAAATTATGTAGTTAAGAAACGCGGTTCCTGAAAAATAGGTTAACCAATCGTTACCGAAACGACCGACGTTGTATGATCGGTTAAATCGGTTACCAGTGCTGCAAACCAAATGGAAATAGTGTTGCCCTAAACAAAATTACTGTTTTTTGTTGGTTATCTAACCTAAAAATTTAACACAGGAGCAGACTTCGCATACAAAATACGTTTTGTCAAAAAATAATTGAATTCAGTATATAGGGTGTTTTAGGTTTGTTTATGTAACTATAGAAATATTATTAAAAATATAGATTTTAAAGAGTAGGTCGAAAAAAGTAACTTGGGTTATGTTTTTTCAAATATAGGTGTCCCGTAAATATGAACTAACCGAGAAAACCAGGAATTTATTTCAGTAACCAGACCGGTAACTCGTGTGTATTTACGGAACATACCCTTAGTTCTCTAAAAAACGCCGACAACTGCATTTTAAACAACAAAATATACCTACGAATTCATGGCAACATAATATTATATATAATACATAATATAGTGGTATTTTACCGTTGAGTGGAGCTTTAAAGAATTCTTAATGAACGCTTTTAATAATGCTAAATGCTATTTAAATTTAGACTACTTATTTCTTTGACGATTTTTACTGAATTGAAATGTTTACACTTTTCACGTTAACTACTAAAATGTGTATTTATTGTTTCTAATAGGTACAATTTATATTTACAGAGACTGTATTCAATTTATTTCTTCATTCAGATTAACACTGTTTGTTGGAAAACCGGTAAAAACTCAATCCAGGATTTCCTCTCTAAATACACCCAACAACGGAACAAATCGATCCACGGTTTTATTTTCGATATTTTTTTTAACATTTTCCGGCTTTATTCTAAAAAACGCTCGTTTGTAACCCAAGTTCTACTTTTGTTACGATGATAACAGCCGAGCGATACTTCTTTAGCGTATACGCTAAATAAGTATCGCCACCACTCGGCTGTTATCATCGTAACAAAAGTAGAACTTTTAATAATAACGAGTGTTTTTGATAATAAAGCCGGAAAATGTTAACACGTTGATGGACACAGACAAATTTTTGGCGGGACCTGCTGCGTCACTTACACAGGCTTGTCATAAATCAGCTAGAAAATTGCGACTGCTATAGCCGTCGTGTCATATTGGGCCCGACGGCATTTGCAGTCCTGTCCATGAACGTGTTAAAAAACATCGAAAAAAAAACGTGGATCGATTTGTTGTGTTGTTGGGTGTATTTCGAGTGGAAATCCTGGGTTGAGTTTTTACCGGTTTTCCAATAAACAGTGTTAATTTGAATGAAGAAATAAATTGCATACAGTCTCTGTAAATATAAATTGTACCTATTAGAAACAATAAATACACATTTTAGTAGTGATTAAAGTGAAAAGTGTAAACATTTCAATTCGGTAAAAATCGTCAAACAAATAAGTCTTCTAAATTTAAACAGCATTTAGCATTATTAAAAGCGTTGATTAAGAATTCTTTAAAGTCTCCACTCAACAGTAAAATACCATTATATTATGTATTATATCGACCCATGCAACGAAGACTATAGTAACTCAAAAAACGTGGGTTTTGACTTACTATATGGCATCAACAGATTTTTTCAAGCTCTATTTGGTGGAAGATTACTCAGACATGAAACGATAGGCAACCAGTGAACAACTTCCCTGTATAGTAAGTGTAATAATCCACATTCCTACAGGAAAAAACTATATTAAGTTGAGTTACTCTAGTCTACAATCAAAACTGAGTTGCATGGGTCGATATACAAGGTGTCCCTAAACTTAGTGGCATAAATTTAGGAGCAGATTAAGCAAGTCAAAATAAGACGAAAATCTAAATAAATATGTTTCCTAATTACGTATGTTTAAAAGATACAGGGTGATAAAGTGTTACTTATCATACCAGTTTTTTTAATATAACTTCTACTATGGTAGACTTGGAAAGGTGATATTTTGCGAACAGTCACTTACTACCAAAACACATATTCACACATAATTACAATTGTTTGAGTGAACACAGTGTCGTAGAAACAGGGGTTGCTTAATCTTATTGTCCCATACAAACTTTGAGGTTAGGTTTTATACCATTTCATGCAATTTTTCGATTACTCAGTTCGGCTACTATTAAAAAGGTGTACCTCTCAAACTTCGATAAAATTAACCGTTCTCGAGATATTCGAGATTACAATAATTGTTATATCGCATTAAAGGACTAAAAGTTATATGATAAAAAAAAATTTAATTGAAAAAACTACATTTTTTAAATCTGACGGTCAGGGCAAAAAGTCCCGAGGCTCATGGAATGCCCTTTTTAGTTTTTTCAATTAAAAAATAAAATTAGTTATCATATACCTTTTAATCCTTTTAAATAATGCGATAAAACAATTATTGTAATCTCAAATATCTCGGAAACGGTTTATTTTATCGAAGTTTGAGAGGTACACCTTTTTAATGGTAGCCGAACTGTTTAATCGATAAATTGC